AACTGTCACCCTGATGAGATCTAGAATCACCTGGGAAATGGGGCTCTGGGTGTTGCTGGGAGCCAAAGCCAATTAGTGGAAAGTTACCGACAGCTGCACCAGGGCCTTTAAGGTTATGGGTAAGAGATTTATGTTCCAGGAACTTGTGAGAACATCTGCCATTGGGCTTGGAGCATCTTGAGATATCTTAGCAAACATTCTTGTGGTATCTCCTGCACTGTAAACCACCCTGCTATCTCCTACACCATAAACTACTCTGCTGATGCACTTCCCCTCCCTGCCTTCTCCCTACAAAGTTGTGTGAAATTTTTCAAATAAACTGAGAGCTTGATCAGATCCTACACTTGCTCTCCTTCTTTGTGCCTTTTGTCTCCTCATTCCTTTACCCCTCCTCAGGTACCCGTTGAATTCCCCGGGGGCAGGGTATGCCTATAGAATTATCTTGATTGGGTTAATGGAGGTGAAAAGGCCTGTCCACCGTGGGCAGCACCATCCCCTGGCTGGAAACCTGGGTTGTGTAAGTGGAGAGAGAGAGCAGAGCAGAGGCAGTCATCATTCTCTGCCTCCTGACTGTAGAAGAAAGAAATGGTTCAGGCTACTTCAGGCTTCTGCTGCCCAGGCTTCCCCACCCTGAAGGACCGTAGGCCCCTCAGTCGCTTTGATCAGGTATCTTGTAGCAGTGGGAAAAGTAACTAAGAAAGCATTCTTCTTTCCGGCTACCTGAAAGGACTGGGCTGGGTCCCCTAGCGGCCTCTACTCTGCTCAGCGCTGCCTCTCTGCTCAGGAGGGAGGGATGCTACAGAGCAAAGCCCATCATGGTGCACCAGGGACCTCGGATTCAGGGAAGTAAATCACTCACCGGGGCCTCATGAGAGCAAGAGGTGGAGCTAGGATTAAAGCCCAAATCCAGCAGCACTGCTGAGGCCCCCGGGTCTAGGCTTACTACACCCTGTGGCCTTCGTGTCTTGGACAGTGGCATCAGGCTTCCCGATGGGACTAAGTCCCAGTGGTGTAGGGACACACAGGATCCCAGGTGGTCTTCATTTCAAATACAGCATTAAACACAGTGTGTTCCTCGACCTTCTGCCACGTGCTAAACACCTGTGAGAGCACCTGGGAGGGAGGAAGGGATTGATTTGCCCATGGTCTTAGAGGCTTTGGCCATGGGTTCCTTGGCTCTACTGTTTCTGGGCCTGTGGTGAGGCCGGCTGAGGCAGGGGGAGCACATGGTCGCCTCACAGTGGACAGGAGGCCGAGGGAGAACTAACCAAACTGTGTCCGAAAAGCCACATGGAAATCTATTTTATGAGCTTCCTAAAGATACTTATACATGTATGTGTATATATATATATATATATATATATATATATATATATATATATGTATATGTGTATACATATATATGTGTATATATATATACATGTGTGTATATATATATATATATATACACACACACACATATATATATATATACATGCACACACAGACACACACACACGGACACACACAGGTGGCATGCCCTTAGTAAACCACTTCTTATGCTCAGATCCCTCTCTCCGAAACTCCACCACATCCCAACAGTCTCTTCCACTTCCGGGTCCATCGATAGTTTAGTCAGATCCCTTATCCAACCATCTCCCTGAAGCCCCAAAGCTGACTACTGGTATCCAAAACCAAGCATTCAAGCCATCAGACTTTGGGGGCCCATACCAAATCCACACCATGGCAGCCAGCAACTTTATAGTTGAGACTTTGCCCAGGCTGGACCTTCTCTCTGCCTTGTCCCTACCCACCCATCGAGTATGTTCATTTGTCCCTTGGGGACAGCTAGAGATCTCTCTCCATTGCTTTGTCATGCTTCTGTGCATGACAGTGCAAGGAGAGAAAAGGAAATAAGCCCGGGAGCTCAGCTGCACAGGCCTGAGGCCTCGTGGCCTTTGTCTTGGCCGCCATCACACTCACAGAAGGAAGAGTGACAGCAGGTCTTTCCTTTGTCAGTAAGTATCTGAGCATGCCCGTGAGGAAGTTTCTAGAGTGTACTGAGCAGGGAGGACCCTCCCGAAACGTGGGTGAAACTCTTCCATGGGCCGTGGTCCTGGATACAATGGAGAGCTCCTCACAGAGCACGCAACTGCTGTCATGCCGCTCCCATGACCCACTGCACCCTAGAGCTGGGACAGAACAAGCCTTTCCCTCCGTTAAGTCAGCTCTCGTCAGATGTTTTGTTAGTGAAAGGAGAAACAACCCCCTTGAGGTGTCATTGGACAAACAGGGCTCATTGCAAAGGCGATGTCACCCCCACTTGGGACGCGCATTCGAGTCCTAAGGCATGAGCAGAGTTGGACCCCACTAAAGGCGAAGTGTGATAGTCTCACTAAGAGGCCTGAGCCCAGCAGCCCGAAATGGGGAGGCACTGAGGAGAACTCACAGCCTCAAATTACAGCCCATGTTTGTGTTTTTTTTAAAGCCAATTGCCAAAAAAACAAACAAACAAACAAAACAAAACAAAAAAAAAACCAAAAGATTACAGGTGAGATGCTTTATGGGGAACAGGAATCTATATTTAAATCCAGCTCCTCTTTCTTTGTTCCGGTCCCTGAATTCCTAAATTACTCGTAATTTTAATTGTGTTTCAATCGCCTGCTGGTTGACAGGCATTTATTTCTACAATACATTGGACGGGCCACCTCTTGCTCTGGGCTTTTTGAAATCTGTTTGTTCTTTTGGACACTGGAGAGCACAGCTGATGGGTACATATGCCAAGTTCCTCCGGTGCGGCTCTGTGCCACTTCACAGAGCTATCCAGTACCCACGGCAGAGGCTGGACACCTGTGCTGTTACGGACTGGGCCCGGCAGCAGCTTATGGCCACGACAACTTTATCCAAAGGGGACGGTGTGCCCTGCCCGGAGGCCTCACCGCCCCGATGGAAAAGACACATATCTCATTATTGGCAGGCCAGATGCCTCATCTACACACAAAACGCTAATTTCCTACTAGAATCTGGCACAGTAGGAGTGGAGGCAGTATAGAAAGGCAGGGAGAATTATGGGCTTGAGGGGGGAAGAAAAGAAGCTCTTTACCTCAGAGTCTGGGTGAAGTTTTCATTGGCTGAGAATCAATTCAGATACAAGGAACATTTGCATAAGGCCCTTCTCCTCTCTCAGGTGTAACCTACAGCTTTCCAGGGATCTTACCAGAACCCAATTGACAGTAAAAAACAAAACCAAAACCCAAAAAACCCCGAGGATCTGGCTCTATTTGAGTCAAGGTCCCTAAAAGAATAAAGGGCCTCCTTGGGCTCCCAAAGGCGACAGCATGGGACTGTGTTCCCGTCCTAGCTCTCAACAGAAAGACCGACCAGTCCTCTCTTCTTCCCCTGGTATTTTTGTGGAGGGCGAGACACAGCACCCAGGACTCGGAACTTCTGCTTGGAAGGTTTCCGGCCTCTCAGCACAGCTCCTATCAGAAGCCAGGGCTGAAGCAAGGCCCGTGGGGAAGGAGGATGTGGAATTCTGGGAAGGAGCATCTCAGACACCCGCTGTGTTTAAGAACCCAGTTGCAGAGAGGCTTCAGTGGGTCACATGGCCCTTGGCAGGTTGAGGTCAAGACCCTCTGCAATTTGCCACGATCTGCTCGTTGATGTATGGGGGCAGATGGGGGCCTCTGCTGATACTCCTGTTCTGTCCTATTCCCTACTTGCTGGTGAACCCAGAGAAGGCCAAGTTCCCAGCAGGGCACTGCCAGTGTCACCAGGAAACATTGGCAAACATCTTGCTCTCCCTTGAAAGGCACCTGTCACTGTGTGATTATATCACTGAGGGGAAGCTCTTACACTCTTAGCAGAGACCTCCACTGCTGAAGTCCTGTTCTCTGTCCCTCCTGAAGGCGACAGCATCCAACTCTCTTAGGTCAAACCCTAAGATGCCACTTTTGTGCCCCGATGGCAGTATCCTAACCTGTGAGGGTTAATACTGACTGTCAACTTGTCAGGATCTAGAATCACCTAGGGGCAGGTCTCTGGGCATGTCTGTGAAGAAGTTTCTAGACTAGGTTATCTGAACCATAAAGACTGTCCAGAACAGTAAGTAGATCATTCTCTGTGCCGGGCTCCCAGACTGAGTGGGGAGAAAGCAGGCTGAGCACCAGCTCCATCTCTCTCCGCTGCCCGACTGTGGGTATAATGTGACCAGCAGCCTCCGGCCCTTGCTGCCACTCTTTCCCCATCATGATGAGCTGGACCCCCAAACCATAAGCCTGAGTCTGCTCCACCCCCTGCTGCTTTTATCAGATATTTTGTCTCAGCAGGGAAGAAGGAAACTGACGTGAGATACAACCTAACACTTAGGTACCAGGTGCTGCACCGGATGGCTGGGACTTCACCGGGAGCCACTGGCCTTTATGCTAGCTTGGGTGTAAGCGGCTCCTCCAGCTGCCTGGTCCTGTCTCTCTTTTTCTTCCTGGTGCAGGCTCCAGGCTCCAGCACTCCCGGGGCTCTGCTCTGAATTGTCCATCATGTTTGAACCAGGGTGGGGCCACACAGTTCTTATGCCATGTTGCCAGAGGGTCCTGTTCATTCTTGCTCAGGGACCTACTGGTATCTGTCAGAGGCGACCCCCAGACCTGGCCTTTCAGCCCTCAGATATAAGCCCCTGCCACCCAGCCGGCTCCCTCTCCCCGGGGTCATAAAAATAATTCTTTTAGAATGAGTTTCTTCCTGTGTACTGCAAGCCCATGGGTCTGAGGGCAGGCTTCATCCCTGGAGACCTGAGTGCCTGCTTCCTCTGTGCTGGACTGGGGGAGTCCCAGCCAGGGGCCACCCTTTTCCTGCATATTCCTCCTGTCATTCCGAGCTGTGGGCTCTGACTCAGCCAGGCTGTTTCCTCTGTTACATCCATACACTTAGCATGTCTTGTGTGTAGACTCTGTACAGTTGTCCTGGTTGACTGAACCAGGACATGAAAGCATGCTTCAGAAATAAGTGAGGTCCCCGGCTCTTACCTGCCACTGGATCAGAACCGAGGACGTGGTGTGCGGCGTGGCTGAGACAGACCCTGGAGGCTCTCCTGGTACTGCAGAACAGCAGACAGAGGAAAGCAGGGTTACAATGGCTCCGACGGGTTTCAGATGCCCTTCCGCGTGGGGTGGCTGTCCTCCCTTTGGTCCCCTTAGCCTACCGTTCCTCTGCCTAATGTAACAAGTGTGGCTCTTCTCACTGTGCTGGGACATTCAGGTGAGTTGGGAGCTGGAATCCCCCATGGGTCCCCCAGATCCCCCGTGGGTCCCCTCAGACAACCTACAGCACTCTGGGAGCTCAGGCCCATCCCCCTGTTAGTGCGCAGGCGATTCTGCTGGCCTGCCCTCAGGACCCAGCATCACCACTTGTTGCCACTGCCAGGAGCAACAGATGTGTGCGGCCTGATAAAAGAACTGCCGCCACCCCAGCTCTCTCTCTTCCTGCATTTTTCTGCCTTGCCCCCTCTCTGCCCTTCTCTGCGCCTCCCTCTTCTTCTCTGCCCTCATGGCTTGCTCGTTGATGCTGCCCTTTCCCAGGTCCTTACTCCTCTCCGTTCCCCCAATAAACTCCCTTTATACCAGATTTGTGGCATGGTGTACTTTCTCAGGGGGCGGCACGCGTTGGCCTGGGGCCGACATGGTAACCCCCACCACACACATTATATTTCATAACAGACCCTTCCTGGGATTGCAAGTTTTGGGAATGGGTGTCCGACAGTATTTTCTGAGATAATGGGTGATGGTTGTTCATTCCCTATGAGCAAGGCAGGTGGTCACAGTGAGGTCACATGAGCTTAGTCTGAAACATGCATGTGACTGTTGCTAGAGATGAGGCTGCTGCTAGCCAGCCAGCAAGGCAAAAGGGCATTTGGGCTGTGAGCCAGGAAGCTTCAGTGGTTCTGCTTTGGTCTCAGGAAGGACAAGGTTGGTTTGACTCCTGCCACGCGAGCCTGCTTTCGGACCTCATCATGTATCCAGGTGTAGGAGGCCCCCTCCCCGTGGCCTTTCTGCCCTCTCCAGATCACGTGGTCCTCTCTCGTGTACTAAATTGACGTCTCTGTGTCTCCTCAGCTGTGCCTGAGTGCCAACAAGAGTCCACTCCATAAGTACTCATGGAGCTGGGCAGGACTGGACAGGTTCCATCATCCCCCGTGGGTACCAGGCTCTGTCTACTTTGCATCCCAAATCTGTCCCTGGACGGTTCTCATCTGCACCCTCCAGGCCAGCCCAGTACAACCCTCTAGACCAGTGGCTCTCAAACAGGGGGTTGCAACCCCTTCGGGGTCAAATGACTCTTTCACAAGGGCCACCTGAGGCCATCAGAAAACACAAATATTTATATTATGATTCGTAACAGTAGAAAATTACAGTTAATAAGTAGCAATGAAAATAATTTGATGGTTGGGGTCTCCACAGCAGCGTCAGGAAGGTTGAAAACCACTGTTCTAGACTAATCTGTTGTCAATGTGGACTTTAATCCAGCCCCAGAACCCCGTGCAGCTGATAAATATCAGGCTAGTAAGAAAACGTGGAATCAGGTATCACCAAGCCAGAGATCCTGAGATCCTGGGGACCTTGGGAGGCAGAAGCAGAAGGGTCACAAACTCAAGACCATCCTGGGCCATAACTGAAGCCCTATGTGCAAAAAAAAAAAAAAAAGACTGAGGTCACAGCTCACTGACAGAGTGTCTAGAATCCCCCAGTGAGGGGCTGGGGTGTGGCTCAGTGGTAGAGCACCTGCCTAGAATTCCCCAGTGAGGGGCTGGGGTGTGGCTCGGTGGTAGAGTATGAATCTTCCAGTGAAGGGCTGGCTGAGCACCTTCAAGGTCTGTGGTTCTACCCCTAGCATAGTAAAAAGGAAATGTTACTCAGTCATCAAAGGCCCCTCCTCTTCCAGCTCTGGCAGGCTTGGTCTTGCCAGTCAATCTCCACCTGACAGTGGGAGACAAAGGGCCACAAACACAATGCAAATCCATCCACAAAGGGAAATTGCAAGTCTCAGACAAGGAAGATGAAGAGATAGGGGCCTCAGAAGCGCCATTTGAATATCAAAGGACTGAGAAGGGGCCTGGGGAGCCTGGAGAGCTCCTTGAATAGATTTCCAGAAAGGGCCTATTCTCTCAGGTCGCTGGGAGCCTGTCGGGATACTGTGCTCCCTGTTTGTCAGAGATAACCCAACAATGGAAGCAGCTTGCTGGGTGTCTGGTTTTTTTCTTCTTCGAAGAGTTAGAGCACCACTGCAAATATTCTCTCCATTGTGTCTGATGCAAGATAAAACGAATGTGGGTTTTTTTTTCCCTTTTTTTTTTCTTCCAATTTTCATTTGATGCTGACTCTCTACCCATCCTCCACACCCCCCTTTCCTGTGTATATGTGCAGGCTCTCTACATCTGTGCACATGTTTATGCCCTATGCTGGTCCTGGCGAGGGGCTGGGGGATTGGGAGGAGCGTATGGAGGCTGGCTAGCTAACCCCTGAGATCCACCCCAACCCCAGCTGGGGTCACAAGCCTACCCACTGGGCCATCTTTCCATCCTGCAGAGCCCCCAGCTTTAAGTGAGTTCATCCATAGATTTTTCTTCCTCCACATTCTTTCAGCAGTGAATGGAAGGGTTTCCTCTGCATTGCCTCCCACCTCTCCTGCCAGGCTCCTGGGGCTGCCCCAAGAAGTACGTCACAGCCTCCCGTGAGCTCTGCCGATTCTTGGCGAGAGCTGTACCCAGTTCCCATCAGCTCTCAGGATGAGCGCACAGGATCCGTTTCTCCAGAGATTCAGGGAAGCCCAGCATCCCTTTCACCAGACACCACGGCCAACGGACCCAGCCACCGCTGGGATGCTGGCTTTGCATTGAAATTCTCTGTGTTAACTGAAATTCCCCGGGGGTGGAGGGCACCTACATTAACCGCTCTTCAAGGTTGACTGACCCACCATTACAGCTCCTGTGGCCCTGGAGAGTTGGAATGTTGCAGGTTGGGAGCTGAGTTATCTTGGGCTATCTAAGCCCCTAAATTGCCACTTATTGTCTGCCTAATGTGTGCAATCTCACAGCATTGTGACATTATGTAACATTCCTTTTGGAGTGTACAAACAGACCCCTAGCCTCCTGAACGCAAAGGCAAAATCAAATTGTCACCAGATAAGTCTGAGGTCTAAAGCAGAGCTTACTAGAACCTGCTCACCCGGTGTTCCCACCAATATATTAAAAATTATTCTCGTTTAAAATTTCCTTTCTTCTGCCACCATGAAAACCGTACGGAATTGTTAACATATTTCCGTATTTGGGGCAACCTGAATCCGTGTTCCCTGGGGCCATGATCACTCATATTTGGCTCCCAAGTAAAGTATCTCCCATTCCCATTAGGTGAGGGCTGATTTTTGTTTGTTCTGTTTTGTTTTGGCATCAAACATCTTGAGCATGTCTGGGAAGCTGAAAATGGCTCATCTCCACTCCTGGGCTAGTCCCTGAGGTGGCCTGAAACTCTGTGTGGTAGAAGTTACCCGTCCGGGCTCTGAGAAGAGTGGAGGCGGAGGGCGAGGACACATGATGAGAGGTCACAGGACCAGGCAGCTGGGACCTGGCCCATTTGGAAACCGTTGCACTGGAGCGTTAAATGGAAGAGACAGGGCTTTCTGGGAGTTTGCACAAAGCCCTGGAGGCTGAACTAAGTGCCTGGCTTCGGGGCTGATCTGGGAGTTGCACAGTATCCACTTCCCAGCCCACTTGTCAGGTTATCTGTGTCTGATGGACCGGTCTCCGGGGCTCACTGCCTTCCTTCCCACACCCAGGATCAGGTCCCTGAGATGACAATGTATCTTCAAGCCCACTGCCTCTGAGGTCAGAAGGGGGTGCTTTGGTGTGTGTGTGTGGGGGGGAATCTGAAACTACTTGGACCCAGCTACCCGCAGACATTTATTTTTAACGACCCCCATTAATTATTCAATTTCTAAATGGACGAGGGTTTTGGAAGCCAATCAAAGCAAGTTCCATTCCGTCTTCAAGCTCTCCGGGGGGGCCTTGATTTATGACCATGAGGTGTGTAGGAACGCCCCGGGCTGTCAGTTACTAATGGACTGCTGCTGCTTGTCACCCTCCCTGGTGACCCCTCTTCTCTGCCCAAGACTGGGGCAGGGCCTCTTTCTGGGAGGAAGGTGTCCCCCAGCCTCAGCACGGCAGTGGGGAGGGGCTGAGCTGAGCTGGCTTTTGCTCACCATCTTGAAGTGTGGTCACGGCCTCTGTTTCTGCGCTGAAGTCACTGTCCCCAATGTCATTGGTGGCCTTCAGGCGCAGCTTGTAGGAAGTGAAAGGCCTCAGTCTGTAACGGAAAGAAATCAGCAGCTACAGAGAACCTGGCTCCCTGTCTGTCTTGTCTGTGTAATGACCAGGAGGCGGACAGCCTGGAGAGGTAGACAGACATCTCCCCTGCCCTGGGAACTGCCAATCACAGCTACCCGGATACAACTACCGGGGCCTTTCAGGGGCCCCCGGACTGCCGCGGTGCCCTGGGAAAGACAGTCTCACTGAGGGATACACCAGTGAGAAAATCCTCCCCCAGGACACTCAATGCCCCTTTGATGATATACTGCACAGTAAACTACGGCTCACCTAGGCCAAGGGTGGAGCGGTAGAACTGGGGCTGGGCTCAAGGGAGTAGCTAAAAAGATCTGTCTTCTAGCTCAGATGTGTCCAGAGCAAAAGCTCGCCCCTCACGCTCTAGGATTCCTGTCAGGGCTCTGTCATGGCCAATCAACCTTAGACTCACCAGTGTCTCTGCCCTACCCCAGACAGGCCTCTCCACAGGACCATTATCTCTTCCAGGTGCCAAGCCCACGCTATACCAAGGGTGAGCAGGCCCTGTCCAGCTTGTACTAGGGACAAAGTTCCCAGGCAGGATTATCAGGCAGGAAGGAAATGGACCAGCAGGGAAATGATGGCGCTAAAGACAGGTTCTGTTCTTTAGAAAGCTTATAATCAGTTTCAGAAACTGTCATTGACTAAAGTTCCCAGAAAAAAAGAAAGAGAGAAAGAGAGAGAGAGAAAAGAAAGAAAGAAAGAAAGAAAGAAAGAAAGAAAGAAAGAAAGAAAGAAAAGGAAAGGAAAGGAAAAGAAAGGAAAGGAGAGAAAAAAGGAAAAAGGTCATTCTGCGAGGCTGCTTGGCTGATTAGAACTTCTACAATATTGGGAGGAAGTTGCCTTGGCCTCCCACTTGCCCCCTGAACAGCCACTGACGCCCACCTCTGTGTCTGACCTAGCCTCCACGTGACTTTTAGGCAGACCTCTGGCTCCCTCCAACCCAAAGGCTAAGAAAGTCCCCAGACAGCATCTGCGGCTGTAGCGAACTTCCCTGCTCTGCTGTAACCTCCTACCTGCAGTTTCCACCACTGTGTTTGAAATCGCCTTCACTTGGGGCTCTGTTCTGTCATTTAAGAGCTTCATGAGACTGTTACCACAGTGGAATGCGGTATTTGGGGCAGCCTGCACTACGGTCACTCATAGTTGACTTGGGAATAAATTCTGTCCCTTGAGGTGACAGCTATGTTTTTGTGTAGACACCATGTCAGAGCACTTTTGTGCTCCTTTCCCTCTGAATACATTGGATTACAGCATTTGTTTAAAGCCTCAAGGGGTACTGTGCTCAGTACCTGGAACAGTCTGGCCTTGCCAGTCCCTAGACCCCTGCAGACCTGGCCTCCCCAGCAGCAACCAGGAGAGCTTGGTCTTGGTTGGCTTAACTCACCTTAACAGAGAAGCCCCTGAAGGCCCACCAGAATGATCTTTGGTGTGGTTCCTGGGGACAGCTTTTGCTTAGCTCAAGCAGACCACGTTCAGCTGTTCTCGGCTTCCCTGAAGCTACCGTGTCCAGTCTCAGTGATACAGGCCTGCTTATCCCCTGTTCCTTCCCAGCCTCACATCTGACTAGCTAGCTGCTTCCCTGGTGTTGAAGGCAGCATGAGGCCCTTAAAAATGTGGGCTCTGACATCTACCTTCCAGTTCCACCCCACACATGCTTGGATGGGCTGCTTGGCAGACGCCTCCTCAAATCCCCATCGGGGCAGCTAACAGACATGGAGAGGCGTCTCAGAGGTCCGTCAGAGGAGGCGCTTGGGAGACTCTGCAGTAAGCCTCGCTTAAAGCAGCAGATGGGGGCTGGGGCGATGGCCTGGTGGGTAAGAGTTGCACCTGAGTTCAAGCCCTAATGCCACATGGATGTGTGAGGCTGTGTATGCGTAAACCCAGTGCTGGGGGAAGGAGAGGCTAGAGAGGGGGTGACTGTGGGGGGTTCCTACCTGCCAGACTAGCTCAGTAAGAGACCCTGTCTCAACGGAATAAGATAGTGCAGGACACATGTCGTCCTCATCTAAGCTGTGCGCAAATGTGTCTGCATGTGCACACACATGTGCACATACTCCACACACACACACACACACACACACACACACACACACACACACACACACACGTTATCATTATTATTTCTTAGACATTATCTTAAAAAGTTAAAATGTCTGCCACATGATAACTATCCTGGATGTCCCTTTGCCCTGTTTCTTTCCTTTCCATTTCCTCCCTCCCTCCCTCCCTTCCTTTCTCCCTTCCTTTCTCCCTCCCTCCCTCCCTCCCTCCCT